GAAGGCCACACGAGAGCCTCCCAACTCGCGCTAGCGGGGACACGAAAGAGCGAACCAAGCCTGATATGCCTAGAAGTTGACGTTGCCATGGACCTGAAGGGCGTAAAGCTAGCGAGCCTGACACAGGCGATCGCGTACGCGGGTATTAAGGAACGGAAGTCCGCCACATCACGGAAGGCCACAGACAACAACACCAAACAAATCATCTCCGCTATCCATGACACTTTCCACCGCCTCCCCACGGCGCAACAAATCTGGCAGAGCATCCGACATCACGACTTCTCTCGTCAAGTCAAGAATTTCCTCTGGAAATCACTACACTCAGCCCACCGCATCGGGGATTTCTGGAAACATATCCCCGAGTGCGAAGACCGCGGGATCTGTCAGTTTTGTGACGAGCCCGAAAATCTGGAGCACATTGTCCTAAAATGCCGCCGCCCGGGCCAGGATACTATCTGGTCCCTGGTGAAAGACCTCTGGTTGAGGAAGCACCACACTTGGCCCGAGCTATCACTTGGAAACATTCTTGGCTGTGGCCTCGCGACTTTCGAAGACGAGAAAGGCCGCCGACTTCCCGGCGCAGCGCGCTTGTACCGTATAATCGTATCGGAATCCCTATTCGTTATCTGGAAAATCCGCAATGAGTGTGTAATCTCACGGGGGGGAGAACCTCTCCCCGAGGCCTTAATCCACAACAAATGGCTGCATGCCATAAATATGCGACTGCATTTCGACTGCGTCCTCACAAATTTTGCCAAGTACGGTAAACAGAACTCTATAAAGCCCTCCCTCGTGCTCCAAACCTGGAGCTCAACACTGATGAACGAGGAGGAGCTGCCGGATAACTGGATTATAAACCAGCCCAGGGTTTTAGTGGGTATCGGACCCAAATCATCGCACCCCCCTTCGCAACCTTCGGGCCGCAGAGGGCGGGGGCGATAGCTCCGAAGTCCCACACTGTCGCTACCCGCGTCGTGCCTAATGCATTTCCCCGGGCGGTGGTTGTGTTTATCTACACTCCTTTCCGGAGGGCTCACGCCCTCTGTTCCTTACGCGGTTCTGGAGGCTGATCAATTATCAGTTGTCCCCTACCGATTATCGTACCACCAAAAAAAAAAAAAAAAAAAAGGAAGGTGCTTCCAGTGTACTGCATCGCTGGGAGTTAGAAAGAACCTCCCTTCTCTCATGTGGCCACAACAAGGAATCAAATTTGCATTTCTCAATTTCCCTGTCTCTTGCTAGTCCTCGAATCATGTCTTTACCACAGGCGAAAGATCTATTAGGTCTCCTCTCCATTCTTCCTGATGGTATTTCAGATGCAGAACTTGTTCACAGTAACCTGCCAATTCACAATATTCTAGCTTGCAAGGCTACTCTACTTCGGACCTCACTGGCATATACAGATGACCAAAAACGGTTGAAAGCATTGGTCCCCATCAGGGAATATGTTCACAAAATGCACCCCCCTGGAGCTCACCTCATTCAACCTCTTCTAAAATATTTCAATGAGCTCCTTAAGCTTTTCGACTCGTATCATGGAAGTACTTCAAGCTCCGGGATAGTAGCTCGTGTAACATCGAACTTTGTCAATATCCAGACTCTTCTGGCGATCAGTCTAAACAAAGACAATCCGGTGCTTCAGGATGCCATCTATTGCACATGCTATTTTGATTCCTTCAGTAGACTAAGTGGATATGGATGCAGCAACTTAATCAATAAGATTCCCGATGTTATGCCTCACCTTCATGACCATAGATTGGAGTTTTATTTCACTATCCAGCTTTTTTTGGGATCCCTCTACAATTCCATTAATATTGCCAATGTGGAACACCTTGTGGATCAGGCTCTAGAGCACTCTACACATTTCGATGATCCAGTTATTAAATGTTAGACTCGCTAGCCAGTCGACGTCCACTCGGTTACACACAGACGGAGCGGGACGAAAAGGGAAGGAGAACAAATACATACAATATCAGAGCAAATAATGATGGGACGTCAAACAACAGGTAACCTCGTGGACGGACTGGGCCGGCACGTCGCCTGTTTTGGTGACGACGCGTTTCACCGCCATTCGAGAGGCCCTGACTTAGAAATAAACGTTGAAATTGTTTAAAAAAGTGCTCAAAGTGCCTGCATGAAAGATGGATAACTTTTAATTCCCTATCGAACGAACTAAACATGTTTTTTGGGTGAAAAAATGAATGTTACAGTGTATCTACGCGCCATCGTCATCAGAGGCCAGCACAGCCACACCGCAAGCCTAATTCGGACGTTCCTCGCAGAGCCTCGTAATTATATAGCATTCTATGTAGTATCACATCTCTAGAGCATCCAATATACCTTAGATATTGTCCTTCTGGCTCCTCATGTAATGAATACCTCAAATCTACCATTCTATTGCCCAAAAAACAACTTACGCTCAATCGATAGAGAATCAAAAACTGTCCATCTTTCATTAGGACACTTCGAGACGGTTTTTGGAAGATTTCGACGTTTTTTTCTTTAGTCCGCACCTCTCAAATGGCGGGGAGATAGGCCATCACTGAAACAGGCGACGAGGGAGCCCAGCCGGTCCCCGTTGTTACATGAGATCACGAATGCCATCAATCACGGGGGCCGGCTGGTCACGAGCCTAATTAAATGTGAGTTTTGTGTCATGGATTCTGTCATATATTCACTTACAAGGATTCTCTAGGCCGATTTTATGCTGTTGTATCCGAAGTCTATCAGTTCATCAAGCAGGATATTCCTAGAGCGATGTACTTCTCTCAAGCTGGCTTGGTCCTGTCAATTTCGATCGGGAACATCGACAGACAGGCCCAAGCACTGAGACAATTGGCGGGGATTGAGTACCAAACTGGGGATTATTCTGCTGCCCAAGTACATGCCTATGAGTCACGCAGACTGGCAAAAATTTCTGCAGATTTATACGAAGAGGCAGCTGGTCTCCGACTTGAAGCCATGTGTTGGGATTTCTTCGGCCACTATAGACACAGCATGTCCTTATATCAACAGGCAGCACATCTTCTTCAGCTTTGCGGCATGTCTGGATGCGAGTTGGATTCTACCATCATGAGCAATCAGGCAGACCTTCATCGGGTAAAATCAGAATATGTCGAGGCTAGGGATATTCAAACACAACTACTCCCCAAGCTGGAACACGGGCCACACTGGCATGACTTTATCTTGGTAAACATTGCCCAGACCGATGTGGAAATGGGTGCATCAAAAGATGACGTGCAGAAGAACATTCATGCAGCAACCTTGAGGTTGAATGCCACAGGAAATACACAGGGACTGATTTACTGCGATACTATTAGAGCAGCTCTGGACATGAGAGAAGGTGATCTATTGGCAGCAAAGACTCTGTTCCAAAAGACCCTTGAATTTACTTGGGCACGAGACAGTGAAGCTGCAAGCTATTGTTTGGAGAAACTCGCCAATGTCCGAGTGTGGAGCACTCTAGTACAGACTTCATTCACTCAGCCAGTGACATTCTTAGTGTATGTCTTCCGGAAGAAAATGAGACTCGAAATCCACAAAGCTCTCCAATTTCTTGGAGACATGTATTTTGCTGAGGGTGACCACCAGACAGCAATCAGTCTTTTCACCGTTGCTCTAGATGGATTTACACAAATGGATGTTCACCGAAGCAAAGCAGAATGCATGCTTCGCCTAGGAGATATTGGAAAGCATGATGGAGACTTGTTGAAAGCAAGAGAGCTGTGGAATAAAGCCCGCCCATTATTTGAAAGATCAGTGCAGACAGACCAAGTTGCAAATATTGATCAGAGACTTGCTGAGATCAGTAACATAGGGGAAGCCAACTCAAGGCCACTGGTCCACCTCCTGGACCTTACTGCACCCACAGAAAGTGCGAAAGAGCTGGATGTTGTACCAGCAGACACCATCTAATCAATGATTAAGATGTAGTCGTGGAGGATGACCCACTTGTGGCAGTCCTCACCTAAAGATGTTGGCTATGTACGGTATCATTGTCTGCCATATGCATTTCTTCTTTGTATGAGTTGAATATTTAATTTATTGAAATTGTGCCAAAATAAGTTCAGTCGGGCCCAGAGGGAATTTCAAATGCTAGAATCACTCTGCAGATGCCAAAGCCGCGTCCATCAAAAAGTTGATCATGACTGAAATTTCTTGGAGACTAGCTAAACTGATACTTACTAAATTATGTGTCCTCTCAGGAAAAAGTAAGTTACGTGTGAGTCTACGGCATGAAGCGGGGTTGGAACTGTCACCTGCAGAGAACGACGTACCGCGCCGCCGTTCCTCACGATATTTTCCTACCATTTATTTTAGAAGGCGGACAGATGGTTTATCACAAGCTTTGAGCTCAGAGAAGAAGTTTTTCAATTTTCCAGCTCAGAGGTAAGTCGTCGGCAGCTGTCGCCATCTGCCACTCAACCGTTCCGAGATTGATCGGAGATCTACCTATTCACTACGCACTCGCGATGTTCAACCAGAAACTATGGCTTGACTATGGCTGTCAATAAAGCAGGGTGTAAAAACATACCTACAATCACAGGTGTGATTGCACAATGTGCGTTTCAGTATGTGGTAATCCTACTGTACATTGTTAGTGGGCTCTGCCGCAAAGCGCACTACAATTGTTTTTTCGTTAGCTGTCCACCCCAGACATGTACGGCTTCACAAGGTCCATGATACAAAAAGGCCAATTTGTAGCTATATTATTGACTATTGACTATTTATCCTCGTCACCAAGTTTTTCAATTTAATTCAAGTTCCATTAAAGTGCATGCGGACCCCTGGGGGCCCATGTTGCACTGTCTACTGAGTACAAGTGAGGTAAACTAGCGGGCCTGGAGTTGTGGCTAGGGAGGGAGGCGGGGTAGGTAGCGGATGGCTAGGAGGTACTGCAAGTGTGAGTGTGAGGTGTATGTGGCAAATCTGGAAGTTGTCACCAAGTTTACTCAACCTCAGGCCAGCCTCACATTCGTTATGGGGGAGATTACGTCAATGGCTGCGTAGTGTAGCGGTTATCACTTCAGATTCTGATGCCAGTATTCTGGCGACCCCGGTTCGATTCCGGGCGCGGCCTTGTCATGAGGATTTTCTTTTTCTCTAGCTAAGCCCATCGTCGATGTCAGCTCACCCCGCTCAGCGACGGAAGCAAGTCGCATGCGTATTCGGGATTCTGGGACCGAGTTCACTCCTCGGAGGCCCAATAAAATCGTCCGACAAGGCGTAAATTCGGCGCTTATATGTGTGTGATCTGACCGCCATGTACAGCTTGAAGGCTGTGAGTTGCGATAGCAAATTTAAACGATGCATCAGTTTAAACATACTATCTTTGACCCACCTCTGTAGAAAGGTTTTGAGGGGTCCGGTGTGTATGCACGTCTTGCCGGGGGGCCTTCGGCATTTGCATGATGTATGGCTAACACACAAAGATGTCAAATCTAAGCTGTCTTAATTTTTGAGGCAAAATTGAGGTCACAGCGAGGCTGCCGAGACAGTGGCCTCCTTTTACCTACCTCTGCATAACAATTGATTAAGAATTTGGCAAGCGATCGGAATTGATCAAACCGTGCAAAATCCGGCTATCGATTTTCTACTGGGCTCCAATGGTGCTCTAATGCTCTAGAATTGTACCCGGACCAAACTGTGCCCTATGTTCATACTCCAATTTTATTTTGAGCCCATTGGGTTCGAACTGAGGTCACCGGATCAAATTTATGCTGAGGTGGGTCGTTCTGCAGAGGTGGGTCAAAGATAGTAACAGAGTTCACGTGCGAGTCCGCAGCCAATATATAGGTGACATTCATCATTCCCCTCGTTGATCCCGTCTCTCTCTCTCTCGCCCACCGTTCTCCGACACCTGATGTCTTTTTCGCTTGCATATGGCTCCTTCGGCGACATAATCGAGACTGCGAAGCTGGTGAAGAAGATTGTCGATGTTCTGTACAGCCTTAGTAGCATGCCGTCGATTGAGCGCCAAAAGACAATTGCTGTCTTGAAGAGCTTATACGATGATATTGCTCTCTTGCTCAAGTTCACGAATACGGATCCATCATCTCGTGACGGCCACAGACTAGGCGATAGGATAATGGCGGAGCTTAGGTCTTGCCGCTCGCTAATCGACCAGCTGTGCACGAAGATGGATCAATCAAACAGCCTGATGGCGAAACTCTGGATGGCTCTCACTGAGGACAGGGAGTTAGCATATTGGAGGAGTGAAATGGCAGAGCGTCGTGCGGTTCTTCACACTCTTCTTGAACTACTTAATATGTGAGTGTCTTGCGAAGTAGGGCAGAATTGTATTGACATGGCGTGGCCAGAGTTGTGTCGCAGCAGTCTGGAACTCAAATACAAGATGCCATCAGCCATATGAAGTACGTCGGAGGAGAGGTCAACAATTTGACCTTCAAAGTCCAAGACATCGAATCAGACATCCAGACGGTTGCCGGTCAGGTCACCAAAGTTGGGGTCACAACGATGTGAGGTCCATCGTTCTATATGTTTAGCAACAACACCTGACTGCCACAGGTTTGCTTCGCGCGCCCTTGGGGAGTCGATCACAAATGTCCGAGCGCGTGTTGAGGATGTCGGAGTAGAAATCCGAGCCCAATTGCAGCAAATTGTGCAAAATACCACTCTCCATGATGTCATGGAGCCAATGTTCTTTGTGATTGATCCATTGGGCGGGGTCATACGAATTTCAGCATCGTACTGTGAGGGATTCAAAGTAAGTGATCACATTGAACTTTCTTACCATATTGGCGGTGACAGCTTGAAGGATCTCCATAGGATTATCATGGCCTATTTGACAAATCGTACCCGTGCCGGGAGAGGATATATTGAACGTGGCGATTACAATATTGTAAATGCCGAGGGTTGCGTTATACACCCCCAAGACTTTCCTGCGAAGGCAAAGCCCGGGGTGCGATTGGATATTAGCATAATCAAGCGCAAGATATACGCGAGCAATGCCAAAGGATCCTCTTGCCCTCAATGTGGTATCATCCTCGTGAACGTGCCTGCCAATGCCTGGATAGTCTGGTAACTATCCCTTGCCAATCACATTCCAATCCTAAACGCCCGAAATTCTAGCGCCAATCCATTGTGTGGTTGTAGATATCAGCTTTCTGAACCAAAAGTCGGGCCGAAGGACATCAATCCACACCGTGGAGCAGGCGCCACAGACATAAGGTTTGGGGACTAGTAGCATGGTCACATTTTTGTGCTGATCGCCCATCCAGAAATCAAACCGTGATCTTGGACAACTCGGAACCCGAGGGCCCGGAATTATTTCGTCTCCTCGAGATTCGAGTAGTCTCTGTAAGGAGCAGCGCGCTTCACATAGACCCTACACTAATAACCTCCTCACGTCTAGATTGTGCGTCTATTTCCTGTTTGATGTACAGCAAGTCGGCAGAGACGACTTACTACGTTTCTAGACTGTATGTGGCAGTCCATCCTATCATTCAATGTTTAAGTTACTTATCTCCCGACAGTTGGTATACATATGCAATTTGATTGACCAAGAGCTAATCAATAATACCAGGCGGTCAGCTCATTCAACTCTCCAGAGGCTGTAAAAAATGACTTTCCTTCCAGATGGCACGTTTTTCATGACCCAATGTTCGATATCTCTCTGATCATTCATCTTGATTTCAGGCGGTAAGTTTTGTCCCCGACATCAAGCTCACATGCTGAAGATTTCCCAGAAAGTGAGTCCTTTGCTTTGTCGACGCATGCTCTCCATTCAATGTCTTTGTCCCAGCGTGTAAGTTATTAACAGCTTTTAACTGCATGTGAATTGACACTTCTCCATCCACATTCAAGTGGGTCAGTCACTTTGCAATCGTTTCTTTGTGAATTTTATGCTTGGAGGTTTGTGTGTCTATAGCAGGTGGGTATTCCGTCAATTATTATCATTGGAATTGGATTGAGTGCCGGCCTTTCCATCGTTCTTCCAGGCTGTGAGTTGGATCCGAGCTTATCCCTGCATTTATTTTATTTTAATTCAATCTCTCATGAATAGGAGGTAATCCACGTCTTATCTACTCCTCCACCAATCTTACGGGGCCCTGCAGAGAGTGGGTTGAGCTGATTCGCTTACCACCGACCACGTGCTAATTATGCTCCTCGTCAGATCGTGAGTGGCCCTTGGGAACACATTGAGGCATTTACATCTCACCGATGTTGCTACTTAGTTGGTACGTCTCCTGTTGTCGCTCATTGCATACAGCTCAACTATCCCAGAATGTACGTGACTGATTGAATGGCTTCTGGTTGAAATCTAAGTCCCTTGTACACTGTGTGGTAGCTGGTGGGTCCGCTCTACCTCGGGGACTGACACCGACTAAAATTTCCTCGCAGCGCGTAGGCCATGTTGTATCTTTCGGCCACTGAGGCGCTGACAAAATCTCCTTGGTTGCACAGCGTGTAAGTTGTTTGTGAATATAGTGTCGCAGTCGCTTACCTCCTCGCCATTCGTTCTCAGTGGGTAAGCCACCGCGGCTGTAATCTGGGGCACCATGTTGACGCGTAACTGAACCTCTGTCAGCAAGTAAGTCTCCTGTAGCATCGAACCCTGTCGGCGCTGAAGCAGGTCTGACCGGTCCAGATTGGGAGTCTTCTTTTGTATTCAGTCCTTTTGGCTTTTGCTTATGGCTGTGGCGGATTACCTATAGGAAGTGCGTACTATAGTCATCTTGCGCCGAGTGCACTAACCTATTATCTCTGCAGAAAGTGAGTCCGATCCTCCCCAGTTCTAACAATTATCGCAACGATCTACAGCTTGTGAGTATGAGGTTTCATCACGTCAATGGTCGCGATAATTGCGTGATGAATTTTCTCTTCATTTAGGTGGTACGTCTTTGACAATCCCGTTCTCCTCATCCTCAATCTGGGCCAATTATAGTTGGTACGTCGCTGTTAATAGCGGAACATAGGTTTTGGAATTAATTGGTCTCACCTCAGGCTGTGAGTGTTGAACCAAAGAGGGAGCCTTTGATCTAATTCAGCTTATTCGACATTGAACCAAGTCGGTAAGCTGCGCGGGTTACCTTTAGCCATCGTGGTTCGCTTAAGAGCTGATGCCTTACCGCAGCTGGTAATATTCTACACCATACGCTTACACTTGAGTCTCCATCTCCATTCGTCGGCATGTAGATTGTAAGTCTCAGCGCCTAGAATATCCGCCGCGATCTTAAAGCTTTCCAGCGGGTTAGTACTTGAGACATGCCGCATTGGGTTCTGACTGAGCTGAGCCTATTATGCAGCAAGAGCGAGAAGAACGACAAATACTCCTCGGGGAATGGACCGCTTCGAAAGCTAGGCAAGTCCGGCCGATCTGTGCCATGTGGCTATGCTCACCCGAAGGTTCACAACAAAGGCACTCGGAAATCCTACCTATGGGCGACGAGAGGTATGGCAACTCCTAGTCGCACCCGCGCAGATGGCCAACATCCAGCTTAGTTCTGAAAGTTCCGACGACGAGGACTTGGAGTGAGTAAACTAGGGGGAACATCCGAGGGAGGCGACTGACCTGGGCATGCTCGCAGGTTCGACGTATGGGAAGATGTGGATGCGATATCGCACCAAAGCAATGATAGGTACGTCGACGGGGCAGCGATGCAGGTTCTGAATATTCAGCTGATAGTGATGCTAGAAGTGAAAGTTTGGATGATTTGTGTTGAATTCAAGGGTCAGAAATTGGATGAAGGAACTGCGGGCACCTGTAACGAACCGGATGTAAACATAAGTGGTTGGATGCTTTCACATGTATGTACTATTAAAACGGCGCGCGGTCATATGGGATTCAACGGTGGGATAGAGAATGAGCTCACCAGACCACATCTATGCACTAGATTTCTCCTGGCAGACTCGCTCATTCATTCTGAACTATCCGCCTTCGATCGGAATCAATTTGGAGGGCAGTGGTGGGGGAGGGGAGATCAGGAGAATTGACAATCGCTCGCTTTCTCATTGAACTTCTGAGATGTTCCGGTGCGATGAGGGCATGAACCCGGAAGGGATCTGGGTACAGAGAGAACCGTCGGGCTCGCTTAGTACAGCTTGCTTGCCTGGATT